TGGCATAGCAAGCGGGTTGACAACAGTTTGAGGAATATTTGATAAACCAAACTGGAAAAAAAAATTTTAATTTAAAAGAAAACATCAGTCATCCAGGTGGCTCATACAACCGAATTTTACAAACCACTGAGGCCCAGAGAGTCCTAGCATTTGACCCCAAACCACACAGCTGGTGAGTGGCAGAGCGCAGACCAGGAACCAGGTCTTCTGTCTCCAGGTCCAGACCTCTGCCACGGCCCCCTGCTGCCTCCCTCATCTATCTTGAACCACTTGACCACCTCCAGGAATCGACAGCCTCCTGGCTCATCTCAGACGCCTTCCTTGCAGATCGGCACTGTCCCGCAGAATTGCACGTAATGATGAAAATATTCCATGTCTGCGCTGTCCAACACAGACACAGGGCATCACTCAGCAGGTTTGGGGAAATGGGGCCAGTTTGGTGAGGTTAGAAATTGGCAGGGGGTGTGGAGAGAAGGGAGGTATAGAGGAGATGAGACACAGAAGAAGAAGGGCAACGGTTGCAAAGGATCTTGTTTGATGTTCCAAGGAATCTTTTAGACCAGGGATCGGCAAACCGCAGCTGGCGAGCCACATGTGGCTCTTTGGGTACGTTCCGTCTCAAAAGTTCGCCGACCCCTGAAAGAGCCAATCCTGTCCTTCACAACAATTTAAAAATTATTCGAGAGCCATCAATATATTGGGTTGTCAGAAAAGTCATGACGTATTTTTTTCTATGTTTTTCATTGCAAAAATGTATCATGACTTTTCCAACAACCCAATATTTTTATATAACCACCATTATGTGAATAATATCCTTTAAAATTTTTATAAATGAAACTATGATAGTTTTATCTTCATTTTCAATTTTACTTCAGAGCCAGAGTTCGCGAGCCGCAGTTTGCTGACCCCCGGCAGCTCTTCCATCTCAAACATTTGCAGACCCCTGGCAAGGAATCTTCTAGACTATCTCTTAATCCAAGGGGAGCCGCTGAAGGACTTTATGCAAAGTAATGAAATGCCTTGATTGCCGCCTTCCTGGGGCCCCAAAGCGATCACTGCTCCTCTGAGCTCCGTAGCACCTCTGACACTCCAGTAACACTGGCTGTCATCATCGTCACAGTCCCACACAAACAGTTTCTCACCCCCACAGCTCTTATCTTAGCCTGAAACACCTTTCCCTTCCCCTCCTGGTCAACGCTTCCTCTTCCTTCAAGCCTTTGCTCACTGACCCCACCGGGAAGGCATCCTAGACACCCACCCTCACCTGAGTAAGTGCCTCTCCCATGGCTCCATAGCCTCCCTGGCATGTGGAAGAGGCTTAATAGATACTGTTTTAATTTCCCCATCCTTGCTGTTAGTCCCCCCTCTCTTGGCCCTTGCCCATGCCAAATCTACTTTCAGCTCCCCAGTCCCCAAATCTGGAGCCCTCGGAAATTCTTTCCACATAGCCACGGGTTGCTCCAAGGTCCTCCACCCATGGCCTAGGCTTGCGTATCCTCAGAACTTAGCTCCTGGGCAGGGCCTCCCTTCTGCCACCTCAGGACAGGCCTGCTCAAAGGGACGGCCCAAAGAAAGGAGGCCCGAGTTTCCAGCTTCATCGGGGAGAGGGCCCTGATCCAGTGAGCACAGCTGTGGACAAGCATTTAGGAACGAGGAGAGATCAACAGGAGCCTGAGCAGGCTCATCTGGGAAGGCTTCCTGGAGGTGTGGCTTGGCCTTCCCATCATGCCCTCGAGTGACGCTAGATTCTCTCTTGCCCAGAGAGTCCCTGCCTATCTCCTCAAGAGTCACATCCTTCCCCAGAGCCCCAGCCAGGATGGGATGTTCTCACTGGAACATTCATCCAACAACTATGCATTACTATCCTGCGTTATCCTAGGCCTGCCGGCTCTACAGGCCAGGCTTTGGGCCAAATAGGGGAGCATGGCACAGAAGAGATAATGAAACTGTGACACAGGGATGCCATTCCCATAAGGCCATCCAGTCTGGCTGCGGGAGCCTACTCAGACGCCTCTCTGCCCCAGGGCTAAGAGAGAGGAGCACTCTTGAGTGGGCAGGATACACTGAGAGGGACAGGGAGGCAGGGAGGCAAGCGAGAAGAGGTGGGTGAAAATGAGAGGGAGACAGATCAGAGGTTGGGAGGGAGTGATGTGGAGAGAGAAACGCAAGGCAGGAGGAAGCAGAGGACATGAGAAGAGACCCCCTTGCTTCTTTGAGGACCAATTTCAGGAGGCTTCTGGGCAGCCCAGCCCAAACCGCCCCCGTTTCTTACCTCCTACTAGCCTCTCCTCTGCCTTTTTTCTGCCTCCTAAATGATCAGGATGGCATTCTGTCACCAGTTACAGGGAACCAGAGGCAAAGGAGGGAGACTTGAGGTGGAGGGAGAGAAACTGAGATTTCTGTCCCTGGCGTGTAAGGACTAACCAGGACATGCCTCGAGAGTCACAGAGGGGTATAAGATGCTGGTCTGCATCTGAAGTCACCCAAGCTCACGCCCCACTGGAAGCCCCAAGCAGGTTTGTTTGTGAGTGTACCCAGGAGGTGTTTGGAGACTGCCCACATACCCCAATATCCCCAGAGAGACTGAAAATTTCAACCACCCTCCATCTTCCCGTGCCGAACCCTGCCCAGGCTCCCTGGGGGGCCTCAGCCTCTAGATGGTCCAGCCCCTGTATCAAGGCCAGGAGAGGGTCGTGTCAGGTCTTCCATGAGGGTAGAAAGGCAGGAGCCTGGACAGCTGACCCCCAAGGATACCAGCACACGGGTGGAGGGAGGCGTGGGTGGAGCTAGGGGAGGGGAGGAGAAGAGAGGGGGTGAGGCTGGGTTCTTCCATGGAGCTGTGCTTGTTTGGGGCTTTGGCCGCTCTTCCTGTTTGGCAGCCAGAGCTGTGACAGCCAAAGACATCTCTCTGACTGCACCCAAGAGAGACTGCCGGGCCAGAGAGGAAGCAGCAGGCGGGACCCACATCCCACCCCCGGCCAGAGCTCCAGGGAGCATGCCCTCCATGTCTCCAAGAGGCCAGGCCACCCCTAAGGAAGGCTTCCCAGTGCATGGGCCCCAGGGGCAGCCCTGCAATGCCAGCCTTGAAGTCAGGGAGTCAGCAATATCTCAAGGGGCTGACAGAGGTCAGTGGGAGTCAGCAAGAAACAACAAGCATAAGTTATGCAGAGGCACTTTGGAGAATTGGGCATCCAGCTTAACGAAAATTAGGAGGTGGAACTGAGCCCTGGACAGTCGGAAGAGAGCTTCCTTTTCTCTCCACTGCCCTTTCCAGGGGTCACCAGGCTCAGAGGCTAAGATAAGAAGAAAGGCTCACAGCTCCAACCATCTAGGTTCAAACCCATCACTGATAAATTGCATGACCTTAGACAGGCACTGAACCCCTCTGAGCTTCAGTTTCTTTCTCTGTAAATAGAGGCTGATGAGAATTAGAGCATCTGCCTCAAATGGCAGTTGTCATAAGGATTAAGGGAGCTAATTTGTGTAAAGCGTTTAGAACATACCTGACGTGCCGGCTGTTATTTTGTCACCGGCAAGGCCCACATGTCTTTGCCTGCCCTCCTCTTCCCCACAGAGTACACAGAGGTAGCTGGGGGGAAGGCAGGGTGCTGAATTTGGCCACATGTCATTCAGATACCAGGTCAGGGGAGCTGGGGTAGGCCATGCAAGCGGGTGCCAAATGGCAGAGGGGGCAGCACATGTCAGAAGTGGAGACAAACACCATTGCAGTGACCCGGTCACCCAGAAGTCCCTCGCCAGTCTACCCCCAGCATCAGAGCCTGGGATCCAGCTTCAGGATAGACTCGTGGCTTCGGTACGGATTCCTGTGCCCAAGTGAGCCAGAAATACCCACTGTGTGGGGTAAGAGGTCTTGCCTGGGAGGCAGGAGGCCTGGAATGGGCAATGTAACCCCAGACGTGGCTCCGGCCTCCAGCCTGTCTCTTCCTCCAGCCCCAGAAGGGGCTAAGATCTCTTCCACCCCTGATTATCTGAGTCTGTCTCAGACACTCTCCTCTCCCTGCTGTAACGCCACCACCCAGGGCAGTTCCAAGGAGGACACACAGAGTCAGACAGCCAGGATGAGAATATCCAGGGCCATGAGGCCAGCGAGGAAGGAAGAGGCAGACCCAGGAGAGCTGGCAGCTCCCTGGAGGTGGAATAGTGGGGCCTTCTGAACTTCAAGACGGTGAGAGGGGGTGCCCTGAGTGAGCTGAGCCTTCTGCTGCCCCTCCCAGGCTCTGTGGGAGCAAATTGGTGTCTTTCTATTTCTGCTTCATATTGAAGATGAAACAGGGGATGAAGATGGAGAAGGGAGAAAGGAGGAATGGGAAAAAGAGAGAGGGGGGAGGCAGGGGCACATTCCCATAGCCCTTGAGGCAGGGCTACATTTGGTCATGGCCATGTTCGCCACCAGCCTCAGCTCCCAGAAGGCAGGCACTGGTCTTAGCAACCATTGCCTGAGGGATTTTTGCTGGCCTTCCACTAAGTTCTCTGCACTCACCGCCTTCTGGGGAGTTGGTAATTTCATCCCCATTTTACACAGGAGGACAGAAGTCAAGTAACTTATCCAAGGTCACACCAGTGGTGAGCAGCCATGCTGAGTCTTAAACCCATGTCTTGCCCAAAAGCCAAGGGCTCTTGGACTTGACCACCTATTTCCACTCCAGCCTCTGAGACAGTGGAATACACATAGTAGGTGCTCAATAAATGGTAGATGGAAGGAAGGAAGGAGAGAGGGGAAACGAAAGGAAGAAGAGAAGATAAGTCAGGGATACTCTTGGACAGCTGGGAAATAATAAAGGTGCTGTTTTCCAATGCCAGGCTGGCACTGCGCCCAGGCCGACAGCTCCACACTCGAGGAGCTCAGGGCTGGCGCTTGCCTCATCTTTTCCAGAAGTATGTGAGTCCAACTACGTCAGCCTTCAGGTATGCAGTGAGGTCTGCGGCGAGCGGCAAGCTCTCCTCTGTCTCCTCTTTTTCTTTGTTGAATAGCCCTTCCTTTTGCTGTGCCCCCGCCCCTAGCCAGCCAGCCAACCCAGCCTTGCTCCCCTCCCTGGAGCCAGACCCAGCTGGATTGGGGGGGCCTGTGAACAGCCCCCTCAGCAAGGCAGATCCCCAGCCCTGGGAGGAGATGGGTGCGTGGTGCTGGGGGAGGAGCACGAGGGCCACATCATCTAACAGGTTGGTCAGGCTGGGAGGAGTCCCGCCCTCCTGGAGCTAATGAGCACTGTACGACAGGTGTTTGCTCCTCAGTCCCCAGCTTGCCCTGCCTGTGACTAGAGCCAGCTGCCCTCGCCACCCCACGAAGGCTCCCTCGCTCATCTCTGCGCCCTCCCTGTTCCCAAGGCCCGGGGGCCCAAGATGGCCTGCCGCTCCTGCGTAGTTGGCTTCAGCAGCCTTAGCAGCTGTGAGGTGACCCCTGCAGGCGGCCCCCGGCCTGGGACCTTGAAATGGGACAGCTGCGGGGCCCCTCGGTCAGGCTTCAGCTCCTGCAGCCTCACAGGCTGCCGGCCAACTGGCACCATTCCCAAAGTGACGGTGAACCCCAGCCTGCTGGTGCCCCTAGACTTCAAGTTGGACCCAGCTATCCAGCAGCAGAAGAACCAGGAAAAGGAGGAGATGAAGGTCCTCAATGATAAATTTGCCTCCCTGATTGGCAAGGTAAGCAGAAGTGGGAGGGGGGCTCCAGAAAACTAAGGGCTATCAAGCGGGAAGTGGGGGGAGGAGGGTGCAGGCGGCTGAATTCTGTATTTCCTGAGCATCATGCCCCACCCCTGCCCCCAGCCAATGGGGATCTGGCATTGCTAACTCCAAAGGCATGGGGGGAGAAAGGGACCCTAGGATGGCCTATGAGGGATGACTGGATAATATGTGCTGTGTGGCCTGGAGCCAACCCCCTCCCACAGGCATGGACTAGGGAGGAGCTCTGAGTGTGGCCAAGAGAAGGCCCCGTCGTTGGAATGGCTGATGAGGGCATGGTCTATAGTCCTAGTCCTGTCCTGGCCTCTGGCCCTGTTCAGCTTTCGGTAGTCAGGAGCACCAGCAGGGCCCAGGCGGCTTGTGGGGCATCTGGAAGGAAGGAGACTTCCGAGTGAAGGTGAACTATGGCATGTCAAGAGACAGGAACGCAGGGGATAGATGCTACGAGTCAGAAACAGGCAGCCAGCCAGGCACCCACCTAAGTAGAAGGAGTGAGTCCCCCGCACCCTGGCTTCCTAGACCCACTGCCATGGCCAGCATGCTTGTCTGGGCGCTCGTGTCTACCTCTGCCCCAGGGCAAGGGCTTCAAGAGCTCTGAGAAAGTCCTGTCTACTTCCCAAACCTGCTCCTCATTCACTTCCTTCAAAAAACATTTCCTGACCAGCCCTCTCCACTCAGCTCCCTCCCGCCCTGCCCATGAATAAGAGTCACACAGTAGGAAGAGCTGCTGTTAGTTAATTGCTTAGTATGGGCCAGGCACTGTGCTGGGTTCTTACGTATTTCTCTATTTCCCTTAGCAACCTTAGGAAAGAAGTCATTTTATGCCCATTTTACAGATGATGAAAAGTCAACCTTCTTGCCCTGACCCCCAGTAAACCAGAGCCCCATCCCTTGGCCCTGGTTCAGTCCTTGTCTGTACCTTGCTCTCCCCACTTCTGTATTCCTCTGTACATTGCTGGTGTCCCCGTGAGGTGGGTGCTCCTAGAGAGGGCAGAGGGAAGAAAATAACACATTTTGAGCATCTGCTTGTGTCTGGCTCTCTGCGGGAACTTTGCAGATGTATGTTATTTAGCCCACACAGCAACACCACGCAGTGGCTAGTTCCCCTACCGTGCACATGAGGAGAAGGATGTACCATGCACTGTACATACAGAAGTTAAGTGCCTGGACCAAGGTCACACAACCAGCTTGCCCACAGGCTGGATTTGAACTCAGGTCTGTGGGATACAAAGCCAGTCGTCTCTGAGATGGGAACCATTTCTTCCCCCCATTCATGTGCCCAGACCAGCATTCCTGCACCCACACCTGGAGTGCCCGTATAGGGGGTGTGGAGGGGAAGTGACAACTGGAGGACATCCATCCACTGAGGTGGAACGTCCCCTCCCCCAGCCCTTGTCAGCTGCAAAGCCCTGTACTGCTGGGCTGTTGACCCTAGGAGATGAGCCCACTGCCCCGGGGAGGCAGGTCCCTACAGAGCCACCTCCTCTCCAAACCTGGATTAATCCCTTAAAAGGAATGCTTCATGAGCTATGTAATTTGGCTCAGATGGATGGCTTTTCTCCCTGAACACCAGGGCTGATATGACCCTGTGCCTCTGCCATGGGGACAGGTGGGTGTATAGGCACAGGTTGGGGGCCCGAGGGGTAAGGATTCTGTGCCCAGGGGCCAGGGCGATGCCCTCTAAGGTCTTCAGCAGAACTGAAGCCTCCCAACCCTCAAGCCTGGGCCTTGAGACCCATGCTCTTCAGGGTGGATGCGGGGATCTGTGGATACCAGCCTCTTGGGGGCCCTGATCGCTAGGGCTCTGCCCAAGGAGTCCCAGCTAACCCACCAACTCTACGGAAAAGGTCTGTTAGCTCATGTCCCTCGCTGTCTCCTTGTAAAGGACACAAGGGCCTGAGTAGATGCAGGCAGTGGTTAAGAGTATGAAACCTGGAGCTTCCTGGGTAGGGGTGCAGCACAGGGCTTGAAAGAGATATATGGGCCCAGGGATGAGATGCATAAGCAGTGCAGGGGGTGGGGGGCCTCTTGGCAAAGAGAAGGGACAGGCAGGCGCAGTCCAGCTCCGCATCCCCTTCTGGCCCTCTAGGACGTGGAGAAAAATCAGAGCACAGTGGAGGAGGAAGGCGGGGAGGGGGAGAGGAGGGGAGTCGCAGGGGAGACCACCAACTTGTTGAGAAGTGCTGGAACAGGATTGGTTCTCCCACCTGCAGGCTGTGTTTCCTGGGGCAAGCCACTCACCTTCTCTGCGCTTCACTTCCCCTTCTGCTCCGAGGGTAGCCATGAGCTCATGGCAGTGGAAGGACTGGTACGTCAGCAGCCGTGAGAGGAGTGAGGATGAGCAGACGCAGCAGCGGGAGAGGAAGTTGAGAGAGGCAGGGGGAGGGCAATGTGGACACCCAGCAGCGGCTGCTGGCTGGGTCCTCTCACCTTCACATTGCAGACAACAGAATGGAGGTGGGACAAGAGGAAGGGCTGTCAGCAGTCAGCCCGAGCGGGCCGTAGAGAGGGAAGCAAGACGGGTGGTGAAATGCCTGGAGACAGAAATGGGTACAACATCTTCCCCTAGACCTATGTGGCCTCTAGAAGTCACTGGAGCCATCCCCCTGCCGGCATGCAGGAAGGTGCAAACCAGCCCTTCCCGACAAGGGGACCCTGAAGCTCCCTGGACAAAGCCAACCTCTCGATTTGACATCCGTCCCCCTCACCTGAGGAATAGGCCCTGCGTGCCTCAGGGACACCACCCTGTAAGCGCACCTGCCTGGACTGGGCCCATAGGTTGGGGACCTGGGCTGCTCAGTTCCCTACAAAAAGCACATCTATCCCACCCTGGTCTTGGTGGCTCAGTAGTACCATGGAGTTGAGTCACAGTGAGTTCTGCACTTCTGGGCCTCAGTTTCCTCATCTGTACAATGGAAGGCCGGTAGACCAGAGGTTTGCTCTCTGAGGCCCCTCCTAGGTCTACCACCACGTGATCTAAGGGCAGGGGGCGGTCAGCCGGAATGGGGAAGAAGCAGCATGAGAGGTGACGGCTCAGCAGCCTTGGCAGGTTGGTGGCAATTAACCTGGCACCTCCCTAGGCTTTTGTTTCGAGAGGGAGGAGGCTTTCTGCAGGGAAAGTCCTGGGTTGGGGTTCAGTTCCATACCCACCCACTGAGATAACAGGCAGCTCCCCCAAGGGCAGCAGAGGGAAGGGGCTGCCCAGATGTGCCCCAATCAAAATGCCCTCTGGCTGGACTGGCTGGCCAAATGCACCCCATCTCCCAGCAGGCGAGTGCTACAGCAGAGGGTGTTGCGGTTAGACGATGGGAAGGACTTCCTGGTGTAAAAGGCGTTTTTGTTGCTTATGGGTGGAGGAAGCAGCCTCACATCTCTCCTCTCACCCCACCCTCAGTGTAAACACAGGCTCCTGCTTGTCAAAATGGAGGAAAGGTGGGGCGAGCAGATACCTCCCCCCATGAGCCCTCTCTCACACACACAAGTAAGACAGAAACCCTCTTGCCTTCCATCCCTACGGAACCTGTTTGGCTGTGACTACAGCTGACTGTAGGGTTAGGTCAACCTCAAGCAGAACTTACGAGGACGAATGGGAGTTGAGCAGAGGAATGACAGCCCACACAGGCCATCGCCCAATATTCTTGCTGATGTTGTCACTGCGAATGTCAAGGGGGACTTCCCAAGGGCATCAGAGTGGGGCAGAGAGAGAGGAGGGCCCACGTGGCATCCAAATTCGGAAGGAACAGGGAGCCATGAAGGTCTAGAGGAGGCAGCTGCCATCAGATGGGCCCACATGGGAAATTTGGCTAAAAGTTGCTGTGTGACAATGGACACGTCACTTGACTGCCCTGGGGCCCCTGTCCTCCTCTGTAAATGAAGGGTACAGATCAGCTAATCCAAAAGGCTGCTGGCTGTGATTCTGGTTCTTTCAGACTATGATTTGGGGAGCTGGTGCCAGCCATGGGCAGGAGGAGGCCCCGCTACTTGTCTGTGGTCACAGGGAACATCACAGCATCCTCATGACAACAGCCCACACTGTCCAGAAGCCAGGCCCCAGCCATCCCTCCTGCCCTGGGTAGCAAGGGGTTAGGGACCGAGGGGAGCAGATGGCTCTCCGTCTGACAGGGAAGGTGGTAGGTCAGGACAAGTGAGGAGCAGATAAACGGAGCGCCTCATACTGGAGGGAAGCGGGGAGGCTTCCTGTGGGAGGGGAACTGGGGCACATCCGGAGAGGGACGGGGGTGGTGGAAAGGGTCATGTTCAAGAAAGGCTGGAGCCTGGAGAAGACAGGCAGGGTGGGGAAGAGGCTAGGGGAGCCCCAGGCTGGCTGGGCTGGACTGGGTGGAGGGAAGGAGAGGACTTCAGAGGGACCCTGACAGCCTGCGGGTGGCTGGGATGTGAACTAAGGGCCTTGGGAGACCAGGTCGCAGTCTGAGCAGGAGAGCATGAAGGAGGCAGCGTTTGAGGGGAGCAGCTGAGCCCAGAGCCTCCCAGGCAGTATCTTCAAGGCAAAACTGGCCCTAACTAGAGGCAGAAGCCAGCCGAGAAGGGCAGGTGGATTTCAGGGCCCACAGTGACCCCAGTAGCAGCAGACGGGGGCATATGTTGCAATGGTTAAAAGATTCTAAATCCAAACTAACTCATCTGTAAAGCGTAGCTGATAACCATGCCCACCCCATGGGGTTGTTGTGGGGATTTAATGAGTTAAAGATGTCAAGCATGAGGACGGTCCTGATACCCAGTAGGGGCCATGTGAGCATTTGCTATTATTACTACTCCAAAGCACATCCAGGCTCTGCTCGCAACAGCTCTCAGAGGTGGGCAGGGCAGGTGATATCACCCCCATCTTCTAACTGGGGAAACTGAGGATTGGAGAGGCTACAAGTTCACGGTTGCTGGGAGGAACAGCATTTAAGTACTAACCAGGCCCTACCCTGCTGAGTTTCCAAGGCAAGATGAGACCAGGCTTGTCAAAGGGGGGTGGGGGGGGGTGGCAGATGAGCCTCTGACACCTCAGGTTCCCTGGGGTCTCCCACCCAAGCCCCAGGCGGGCACTGAGCGGCCTGTCACATTCACACCCTAGTTCCCCCTTCCCTCATCTGGCTGGCCCTGCTCCTCCCCTAGGAAACCTTTGCTAATTGGCTCCACCTCTCTCCGATTCCCTCCTTATCGCACCATCTTCAGTTTGAAGGATCAGTAATTGGAGATGGCCTCTGAAGGCGCTGAGTGAGGGTGGAAAGCAGATGAGCTGCCACTTCCCAGGGAAGCCCCTGTGGGGGCCCGATGGCTACCCCGGGGCCTCCGCGCCCAACCAGTCCACACCTGGGCCCCTCACCGAAGCCTTCCTGCTCTCCCAGGTGCAGGCCCTGGAGCAGAGGAACCAGCTGCTGGAGACCCGCTGGAGCTTTCTGCAGGGCCAGGGCTCGACTGCCTTTGACCTCGGGCACGTCTATGAGAAGTATCAGGACCGGCTGCAGGAGGAACTGCGCAAAGTGAGCCAGGAGCGGGGACAGCTGGAATCCAACTTGCTGCAGGTGCTGGAGAAGGTTGAGGAGTTTCGGATCAGGTAGGGTGCGCGCCCTACAGGGGCTGTGGGCAGGGACTGCAGGTAGAGGCCAACCTGCACTCAGGGGCAAGGTCCGGGGCACTCCAGCCAGAAAAAGAGGAAACCTCTTTAAGGAACATTTCTTAACTCCAGACATATTGATTGAGGACCTACTATGTGCCCGGCAGTATTCTAAATATTGGGGGGATATGGCAGTGAATCCGTAGCTCCCCCACCCCCAAATAGTGACTCTTCCAACGAAGTCAGCCTTGTGCTGTCTGACAGCTAAGCCCTGTGCTTGCTTGGCCCCTGGGCACCATCACAGCCGCCATCCCCTATCCCCTCCTCTTGTGCCACATGTCCCACTGGCAATGGGAAATTATGTCACCACCTAGAGTAACAGATAGGCTCCCGCTTTGGCTATGGCTTGGGGTTTCAATCTCGATTGGGCGAGAAGGAGAAGGGGAAGGGTTAGGCAAAGGACAGAGCAGTGGGTTTTGTTAGACTAAAGCAATCCCCTTTGGAACTGCGTGCTGACCTCAGTGGTCAACTTGGGATCCAGAGAGATGAAGGGCACACAGCCCCAGCCTGCAAGATGCTTTTGCAGCTTAGCGGGGCAGACCGACAGGAACAAGCTGGCAGGCAGTACCGCCCGGTGGTTAAGGGCCCAGGCTTGCGCATAGACTGCTAGGGATGTACTCCCTGCCCCCATCTCTCCCTAGCTTTGTGACCTCGGTTAAGTTGTTTAACATGCAAACTTGAGTTTCCTCCCGTGTGGAGTGGGAAGGATGATGGCTAATACCAACTAAAGCTGGTGTGAGGAGGAAGTGAAGAGTTTGGTATGGCTATAAATGACCACTCTTCTGTCCCCTAGAAAGCCAAAGTGCTCAGCACACAGTGGGGTCTCTGACGCAGGTTTGCTGAACTGAATTGGTCAGTCTAGAAAGGCACACCAAGCACTTGGCTGGCTCACAGGAGAGGCAACCCTCTCTAACCAGACAGTGGCCAGGGCTTCAAGCACAAGAAGGCTGGGCAGAGCAGTGAGGCTGTACCTCCTCCTCGGGTCTGGTCTCCTTGCGAGGAGGCCCCCAGCCACGGTGACGGGAGGACAGGGTGTGGCTGAACCCCACTCCTTCTCCAGGGCTTGAGCTCTGCCCCAAGCCCTGCTGACCTGAAGTGAGGCTTGTTGTCTCCAGAGCAGCTAGGCAGGCAGGGCTGGAGGAGTAGGGGGCAGCCTGTCAGGTGTCCAGGGACCTGGGCTGGGGCTCAGTTTGCCCACTGCCTCTGCATGTCCTCCCCTACTCAGGCCACACTCAGAGGGAATGGTCACACAGGAAATTCTCCCCACTCTGGGGCCTCAGTTTCCTTATCTGTGGATCTGGCTGGAACTTTCCATCCAACAGGCATGATTTGCAGCCCCGACCTGGTCTCTTCCTCATGGCTGGGCCGGTCCCTGGCCTGGGGCCACCTCTCCCCCAGCCCTGCCCTTCCAGGTCCTAGGGAAACACATAGGGAATCTGAGTGCCCATTCTGGATTGCGATGAGTGAAATTATGTTGGTACACCGAATCTGTGACTCATTTCACTGATATCTCGTAAGTCTTTGGCCCTCAAAGGATCAGCAAATGACAGAGCTATATTGAGGCCTCAGATCATCCTTTTATGGAGAAGGAAACACGGGCCCCGAGAAGGCAGGTACTTGCCCTCAGTCACACAGCGGGGCGTGCTAGATCCCATCCCTAACCTCAGCCATCCACCGTGAGAGGCTGCTCCTGTGAGCCCAGCCAGATCACATCTGTGGAGATAGTTTGTAACTGGAAGTTCTATACAAACATTACTTCTTGTTCTAATCTGTCTCAGCCCCCTCATTTGGCCTGCTGCCTCGTTTCCATCTACTGCCCGACATTACTATTTAGGTGTAGAGTCTGTCTTCCCCTGTCTGGGTAGGGAACCCACCTGAGTTGGGGGAAGCAAGGCTGAAGGGCTTTTGGGGTCTGCAGGCCATAGCTGGGGAAGCTACAGCCTGGGCTGTGCAGAGCCTGGGCAGAGCAGAGGGGCCCCCAGGAGCCAGGAGACGCCAGGCCAAGCCCTGACAGGGAGGGGTGTGCCCTGCCTCTACCAGGCTGATGAGATCAGCTTCACTCCTAGAAATAAACAAGTTAGGGGGGAGGGGGGTGCGGGTGTGACAAGCTGAAAAGGGCTGAGAACGGGTTTGGGAGCTGGTGGCTGGCAGACTGACAGACGACTGGGGGTGAAGTAGGGAGATAGTATCACCTAAGCCTCTATAGGGATGGAGACTTTTCAAAGCTTTGATGTAACCCGGGACCCCAAGGATCAGTTAGCTGACTCTTCTATTTACTAAGAACGAAGCAAAAGCCCAGCTAGGGGGAACTGCTTGCCCAATGCCACAAAGCAAGCGACTCAGGAATGCTGCATACAGTTGTACAAGGTGTTCACTGCACAAGAGCATCTGGTTGAGGGGGTGAACTAGGGCTGAAATCCAGTGGAGTCAATGAGAAGGGAGGAGGGAAGGCTGCACAAAAGGATGGGAAAGGCAGTGAGGAGTAAGGAGGAGTTTGGCACCTCAAAGGACCTCCCCACTGGACAGATCTCCCCAAGGTCCTGCCCCCAGGCAGGCAGCCCTCAGCTATCCAGAGGGGAGAGGAGAAGGACAGAGGTTTTGACCACAGGGCTTGTTTGGGGAGGGCCAGTCAAAAAGGGGCTTCTCAGGTTGGGGATCCCCAGGCCCCTATACCCAGGACAAGAAATTCTTTGGAAGCCCCCAGATTCCAGAGGGAAGCCTGTTCAAGTCAGCCTAGCCATGAGGATTTGTGAAGGATGTGCAGAGAACCACTCACTCTCTCTCTCTCTGCAATTAGGCTTCCCATAGTTTTCTCTGAAAATGCTAGAGGCCAGCTGAGGGCCTGGGCCTGGTGTTGAGAGAACAGAACTCAGGTACTAATAGCAGCAATAGGTTTAGTAGGTGCCACGCACTGTTGTAAGCACTTCATGTATTAACTTATTTCATCTCACTGTTATCCCTATTATCAAAACTGAGGCACACACATGTAGCTTATCCAAGATCATATAGCTGATTAGCAAAGAAGCAGGATTAGAGGCAACTAGCCTGGCTCTGGAGCCCCATGCGTAACCAGCACACCACATGGGCCTCTAAGCCCTTCTCTGAGCCTCCATTTCCTCATCTGTGAACTGGGACCAACAGGACCTCCCTCACTGGGGGCTCTGAAGGTCACAGGAGAGGGTGCAGATAAAGCTTCATGGGCATTTTGTTCGCCCTGACAGGTCCCCAATCTGCAGAACAGCCTCTTTGGCCCACCCCTTGGCCCCACTCTTGTGACCTGAACCATCACAGACCCTCACAGACTCTTGGAAGCCAAGGCAGTGTGGCCAGGGAGAGTGTGCACACTCAGCACACTGTGTTTCAAAGGCCCAAGTGCCTTGCAGACACTCGCTCCCCTGGGTCTGCTCCCCTCAGCTCCTCAGATAGGCTAGTGGAAAAGAAGGCCTGAGGGGTGGCAGGTCCAGCCAGCTGATGTGGGCGGTGGGTGACGCTGCCCCTGCTGAGAGGTCAGGGACTGGGGCAAGCAGGCGGCTGTAATTAGAGCCGCCAGTGATTCAGGCATTCCCTAGAGAGGAGGGAAGAAAACAGGAAGCCGCAGAATCCCCACATCCACTGGGGCCGGCAGGGCTGAGGCAGGGAAGTCTGCGTCTGGCTGACACCCACCCTGGGGGTGCGGGTGGGAGGCCGAGACTGAAGTCTTGACTAGAGGAAGGTCCAGGATCCAGGAATCCCCTCTTCCCATCCAACAGTGTCCTTGCTCCAAATACGAGAGGACTTAAGGAGGAAGCAATTCTGAGAAGAGAGGGGACCCACCTTCGTTGAGTGCTGACTGTACACATCTGTCTGCATCAGGGTGGACTTCATCGGGCACCACGAGCACATGCACACACACATACATGCAGGCACACATACCCCTTATAGACAAAAGAGTAAAGGAAGGAGGGGTGGAGTTACCTGCCCAAAACTACACTGGGGGTCCATCTGACTGTTAAGTCCACGCTCTTCCTGTCCTCCCTCTGGAGGGAACATGACAGAATGATGTCCTACCATCTAGTCGAGGAGAGAAGGGTGGGGCTGTGGGGCAGGTGAGGTGGGAGAGGGTGCAGGGTGAGCAGGATACTTGGCGCAGACTTGACCAAAAGCACAGCTTATTTGAAACTTGAGACTCATAGGGAACAAAATGTCAGGGTGAAAAGGTTGCACAATCAGGAGAGGCTTCCTGGAAGAGGTGAATGAGGAGCACAGCCTGGGAGGGGACAGGTGCCACAAGGAGAGGACTGGCTGATAGTCAGTGCCTGTTTTCCCAGAGTCCACACTAGGGTATCATGTGGGAGAGGGGATATGTCCTAGAAGACCAGGGGCTCCATCCACCTGAAGGAAAAGCCACTTGTTTCTAATTGGCTCAAGGCACCAAATGAGACAGCAGTGGCCCTAAGCCCCACCCGAGGAGGGTTAACCAAACCCTAAGCTCCCATCACATCCAGCTAAGCAGGCTCACTCTTTCTGTTTCTCTTTCTGTGTCTGTCCCCCTCCCTCTCCCGCTCCTTACCTCCCAGGTATGAAGATGAGATTTCCAAGCGCACAGACATGGAGTTTACCTTCGTCCAGCTAAAGAAGGTAGCCTGCCCAGCCTGCCCCAGGGGCTCCTTCCTCGTGGACCTTCCGCCCGCTTTCCCTCAGGACCCCCAAGCAAAGCCGTCCGAGGCTTGAGTCCCAGGACCACAGACAGACAGGCAGATACCTGTCCCCACCCTGCTCATCCTCCCCGGCTCTGAGCCAAGTCTCCTCTGGAAATCACCCCCATCTCACCCAGGAAGCAAAGCCCCCCACCACCCCACTCCTGCCCTGTAACCCCTCGACCCCCTGTCCCATCACTCACCACTGCTCCCACCCCCAGGACCTGGACGCAGAGTGTCTTCGTCGGACCGAACTGGAGACCAAGTTAAAAGGCCTGAAGAGCTTTGTGGAGCTAATGAAAACCATCTACGAGCAGGTAAGACAGAGCCAGTGTCCTGCTGAGCCAAGAGCTGCCAGGTCCATGGCTAAGGGGTGCAGGAGACGGAAGGGCATCCAGTGGGGCATGGAACCATCACAGTCACTCACTATTTCTGGCCACAGTTGTAACGCTTTCCTAAACCCCTTCTGCACTGCTATCAATAGTCTGACACTTCCCTTCACCACTCATTTCATGGCGCATGGGCAGGTTCCCAAAGGGCCACTCTCAGCCATTCTTATTGAACGAATCTATCCCTGTAGACTAAATCGCAGGCACCCACGGCTCCTGCTCTGATAGTCACGCACTTCACCCTTCCCTGTTTGGGGCCAAGGCAGGAAAGATCTGTAGTCGGATTCTTTGGTTTCCAGACAATACTAGCTTCTGCCAAACAAAAATGACCCAGTAAATACAAGACAGAGGAATCTCCACACACATTCTCATCTGTCCCTAAGTCCTCAGCTGGAAGCAATGGCCCAACAAGGCCTAGCGCACAGCACTGTGCAGTCAGCAGATGGGCCTTGCTCCTGGCTGCTGGACACCGCCCCTCTGCTCCACTCTGCCTCCTGGGCATCCTTTGGGATCTGTGTTCCCCTCTCCACACCCCCTGTTCCAGGAGTGAGGACATATACGGGTGATGCTTCAATTAAGCTGTGAGCAGGCAGAACCTATTGTTGGGGATGACAGGACTTGGCAGCCTATGTGCTGCAAACTGTTGGTGCCAAGCTATGGCAGTGCAGCCAAAGTCAGAGCAGGGATCAAAGTCACCAATGCAATCAAAAAGCTCTGCTACAATGGCTGTAGGGGCTGCTGACCACAGCTTCATGGCCTCATCCTGTGGAGACGGAGGTTGGGCCTCGTGGCTGCACATGAGCCACACTCCTTTCCAATAAACTAAGCCCCCAGAGGGGCTTTCATGGGCCTGAGACCTGTTTGTGGCCATGGGAGGTAGCAGAGCAGAGAGAATACCATGGCCCTCGGGAACAGCAAGGAAGCAGCCTCCCAGGCAGACCGCCCTCATTAGCTACACAACAGAGCTTCATGTCCCCGGCAGAGCCTCCCACAGGCAGGCCAAGCCCTAAGTGGGTGACCAGGGGCACCACTGATTGGCTTGAGAAGTGCGTTAGACGTTCCTCTACCCAAACTTACTTGTGGGTGCAGCCCAGGCAGAATCTGCCGGACCAATGTTTCTGAATCTGCCCTCGGCTCTGCTCGCCCACATCTCAGCCATCCCAGAGCCCAAGCTCTAAGCCAGGACAGAGGCCCTGCCGCTATGGAGATATAACTGGAGGAAGCCCTGGTATAACCAGCAATGTACCTGAGCGTTTCCGGAGTCACAGCCACAAAATTCTTGGCCCCTGCTCCATTTAGATTTTGCAGCCCTTGGATCCCAGTCTGACTCTACCTTTTTTTACCATTTCTGTGACTTTGGGCAAATTATTACTCCACTCGGTGCCTGAGTTTCCTCATCTGTACAATGCGGGGAGTAATAGTACCAGGCTCATAGGGTTGTGATGAGGACTAAATCCATTCTTCCAGTGAACAAATGTTTACTGCGTGCCTGCCAGGTGCCAGCATTGACATCACAGCAGTAAGCCAAAGTTCCTGATCTCAGGAGAGTACAGCTTAGCTAAGAGGGGACAGGCAATAAGCAAGTAAACATACATCTGAACAAGATCATTTTGGAGGGTGAAAAGTGCTAAGCTTCAAAGAAATTGGATGATGTGATAGTGCTGGAGGGAGGGAAAATCTTCAGACCCCAAGGTTAGGGGGCATCTCAGAGAAGGTACAAGAGAGAGAAAGCCAAAACTGGGAAGAGCCAGCCGGGGGAGATTTGAGGAGGCTTTAGACAGAAGAACTGTGCGAAGCATCTGCAGCAGGAGTGAGTTTGGTAATGAAAGGTAGAGAAAGAAGCAGCTGTGGCTAGGGCAGAGCAGGCAGGGCCCAGCTCACATAGGACCTTGGGTAATGGGCTGAGCAGCCCCTGGGGGGTACCGGGGAGGGGTGCTGCAGAGGGAGTGAAGAGTATGGCTTGTGCTGGTATAAGATGGCGGTGGAGAAGGGACTGCAATGAATGTCATAGGTACTCAGAGCGTTAGAGCAGTTACTATTACTTTGGGAGGCAGCAAGGTGTTAGGGCGTGAGGTTTCCATTTCTCTCTATGTACTGCCACAGGCTGAGAAGGCAATACTGGCCCTTTGCTAAAAAGATTCCCCACACCAGTGGGTCTCTAAGCCGGCGCTAATAGAAATATAACGTTGGCCACATCTGTCATGAATTTAAATAATTTTATACATAATTGTGTAATTTAACATGTGATTTTAAGTTTTCTGGTAGCCACATTTTTCAAAAAGGAAAGACACAGAAAGAATTAATTTTAGGAATATAGGATATTTAGCCCAATATATCCAAAATATGATTATTCAACATGCAATCAATATAAAAACAATGAATGGGCTATTTTACATTCTTCTTCTCATACTAAGTCTTCAAAATCTGATGTGTATTTTACACTTATAGCTCATCTCAATTTTGACTAGCCGCATTTCAAAGTGCCTACAACCATATATGGCTAGAGGCTACCGCATCAGACAGAGCAGGTCTAAGCAAAGGAAGGCGCCTGCTATGGCCACTTCAGGTGGAAGAAAAACATGCCAGATGTGAGCAGCCCCAGGAGGGCTGGACACACCAGTTTCAATTTTGTAGCAGACACTAGATCTGAAAAGCATGGCTGTGTAGGCCCACCTCTGTGTCCCAGGAAACAGCTGTCCCCTCTGTCCACACATGCACGCTTGCAGGAATAAAGCCTAAAAACCTTTCCCAGGAGCCCAAGGCCCTGGGCTGCTCAGGGCCTCATCTATACACTACAACCTCCCAAGCAAACCCCTATCCCTCACTTCTAGGGACACAGGCTGAGAAGAGAACTCTAGGAGAGCAGAGGCTCACATTTCCCCTCAGCTTCCAAGTTACTCTCCAGCTCCCCGAGTGCATTTGGGGCCCGGCTGCTTCCAGCCAAAATGTCACCTGCCCCACCCAAAAACTCTGGTTCCAGGAAGATTAGCTACGTAATCTGTTGATAACCCCCTGCAGCCAGACACACCTCCTGAGATGCAGGATACTGCAAAGAGAGCCTGCTATGCCTAAGCCACTTTGGCGCCTGCCCTGGTGGTGCCTCGGGGAGGCTGCTCCAGGAATAGGCTGTTCTGCCCCTGGACACTTCACCCCATTTCCATCACTGTCACCAATTACAATAGTATCCCTAGCTATTGTTTATTGTGGGCCTACTATACACCAGGCAACGTGCTAAATGCTTTCCAGACATAATCTCATTTAATCCTCACAACCCTATGAAGTAAGGATAATCATTAAGAGAACACAGACTTTAGAGCAGCTTGGATTTGAATCCTGGCTCAGTAATTACGTGCACTCAGCAGGTTCTTCTATCTCTCCATGCCTCAATTTCCCCATCTGTCAAATAGGGAGAATAATAGTGCCTACCTCACTGACCTGTTGCGAGGATTTATTTTGTTAATATATCCTAAAGCCCTTAGAGCAGTGTCTGACACATGGCAAGTATCTGTAAACATTCACTGTTTCCAATTCTGTATTTATACCCATTTTACAGAAAAAAACTGAGGCTCAGAGAGGTTTAAAAAATTGGCCAGGGTTACCCAGCTCATAAGACATAGTGGTATTCAGAGCCCAGTCCCATTATACACTGCATTTTATTGTACCAAGCAGCACTAAGTTATCCCCTCAGACTTACCATCTACTCTGACCTTGGGGGGCCACAGGGAGGGTAGTCACACACATGGTAGTGTCCTCAGGCTCTGGCTCCCTAGAGAAGCTCTAAAATGTAGACAACTTGGAGATGTACATCACATGTTAGCACTTCTACACCGCACAAGGCAGCATTGTTATACCCTCTGCAGTCCCACAGGGCTGGCGTGTCTGAACAGGCCTGCAGCTGTTCTAAACCCTCCATTTCCTGCTTCTGTTTACAGAGCTGCTCCACCATCTGTGTTTTGCCAATTCCTTCACCATGATAGGGGAAGCCCTCCTATAGTGTGTTTTGACAGTACCCTGGCCTTTTCCTGGCCCGTAACAAATGCCAACTTAGGCCTGGGCTAAAAGTGCCAATGGATGGCATTCTCTGGAACTCCCTATGCCCGCTGACCCCCCACAACATGTTGATCGAGGAAGCCCCAAAGTTTCTGAAACTGTCCACAGCCAAGCAGCCCTGGCCAATATGTCACTTTCCGTGTGGGAAATGTCAGTCTCCAAAGATGACCAGGGGCAGCAGAGGCGGGGCGTGAGTCTGTACCACCATTACCTTATTCTGACATGGGTCAGGCCCACCCCTGCTTTAGCCCAGAGATCTCTGTTAAGCTCATTTAAAGATCAACCAAAACCTCTGGTCAGGAGACCCCCCAAGGGGCAGCTGCCTTGGCACTAGGCTCAGGGTCCTGCTGGCGCCAGGGCAGAGAAAGGTTGCCCCTTGAAGGGCTCCAGGATGCCCACCATTTCTCAAGCTTCCTTTTCCTTGTCACCAGGAGTGCTAGTGGGTGGGCTGGGCAGTGAGCAAACGGGGGAGGCAGCCTCCCTCAGCTGGCCTTGCAGCTGCCCATGTGGTTCTAGCTGACCCACCTGGGCCCTGCAATCTACAGCTACAGGGGTACAAGCTGTCGGTCAGAAGTAGCCGCCTCTGTAGGTACAGACTCCAGAGGTTCAGCCACAACCTCTCTGAGCATAAATATGGACAGAGGGTCAGGAGGGGGCCCAAAGTCAGGAACCAGGATCAGAATGCGGTCATGAGCCAAAAACAGAACCTGGATCCAAGCGGGCTTTCAGCTCCAACTGCGAGTTTTCAGGAATGCAAAGGGCGGAGGGGCGTGTTAAACACTAGCCCGTGGTGCAATCAGTAAAATCTAGACTGTGGGGAATGCTCCAAAGCAAAGAACCTGATGTTTTCAATTAAAAAAAAAATAGCAAGAAAAAAACAGAGACAGAGAAAGATGGAGGGAGTAGCTATAGATTAAGAGAGACTTAGAGACATATGGACCAATTGCAATGAATGGACCTTGTTTGGATCCTGATTCAAACAAACAAGTTAAATATATATATTGTATGTGTCAGAAAAATGGGGACGCTGACCAAAATTTGATGATTGAAATAGGGGTCAAGGGTAGACTGTGAATACCAGTGGAAGTAACTGTACATCCGCGCCCCACACCTTCCCTCCTGCAGGTGAGCTCTACCCTCACTTCCCCAGCATACCTGGCCCCTCACCCTGCTTGCAGAGGCCTTGGCCACCTCACTCACTCTGTACAACACTGGCCTCAGACACTGCTTCCACCCCCTCCTCCTTCCCAATGGGGCCCCACTCAGACCCTGACAGTTGTTTAGCACCTCCAGGGAAAGCAGTCCAGGGCCCGAGAGGGGACACCTTGTAGCCCCTTCTGAAGACCCCTGTCCCCACCTGCCTCTCTACATATCCATGAGCCTTCAGGCCAGAAGCTGTCAGGCAGGACAGAAAGCCATTCTGGGGTAGAGAGACTGACAGAGGCCTCAGCTCCTGTCTCCGTCCCTCTAAGGGAGCTCAGCAGGAACAGCGAAGGGCTTGGCACTCACAGCTCTTTCCATACACTCTGGGTGCCGCAGTTTCTTTCCTATCTGTAAAGGGGCTAACACGCATGCCAGCCTGGTAAGGATAAAATGTGAGGCTGCCTGGAAAGCACTTAGCAGACAGCCAGGCTTAGAACGAGCCCCCAGGAAAATGGGAGGCTTTACCACTTCCAGGGGTCTCTGAGGACGGGGGCTGGCATTTTCTAAACAGAGGAGAGGGACAAAGAGGGATCCTAAAGGATAGGGAGAAGATGAAAATATTGAGGCTAAGTCCTGTTGTTGCCAGGCAAGCCCCTCAGCTAGATGGAGAGGGTGCAGTGAGTCTTCAGGGTGACCCTGAAGTCACCTCAGCCTTGGCCTCTGGCAGCGAGTAGAGAGTACAGGCTTGTAAGCCTGTAGGCCAACTCCTGCCCCTCATCATTTATGGACTTTCATTCCAACATTCAGACACTCCCTTGCCAGATGTGGGGGCCTGGAGATAAAAATGGCTCTGCCATACCCTCAGGGAGCTCCCCAACCAAAGGGGGAGGCCGAGCTGCACACCACTGAGCCATAATGGTGCAACAATGAACAGAAGGGACAACTCCCCCAGGTCCCCTCATGAGCCAGGAGGAAGGTGGCCCACTCTGGGAGTGGGCTAGTGCAGATAGTGGGGACAGTGAAGAAGAATAAGGATTGCATGGTGGGCCTCTGGAGCCAGGAGTCCTCCCTGTGCCCCTTCCCTCCGCTCAGAGAGGGAGGCCAAAGGGTGGGCAAGTGGGGCTGTGAGCTGCTTTCTGAGTCCAAGCTGGGAGACATGGCAGGGGGTGGAGAGCGAGGGAGCATTCGTGCTTTGATCATCTCTCCAGGGAGAGAGAGTAACCCACCTTACACTCACCCTGGGGATAAAGGGACTATAGGGGACTCTGGCTGGCTGAGGGCCGGGTGCCCCCCACTAGCCCTAAGCCCCCCCACTTCTGTGCCTGGCCAGGAGCTCAAGGACCTGGCAGTCCAAGTGAAGGACGTTTCGGTGACCATGGGCATGGACAGCCGCTGCCACATCGACCTGAGTGGCATCGTGGAGGAGGTGAAGGCCCAGTATGACGCCATTGCAGCTCGCAGCCTGGAGGAGGCCGAGGCGTACTCCCGGAGCCAGGTTCGAGGCTGACAGCACAGGGTAGAGGGAGGCAGGCAGGACAGGAGGGGCTGCACTAGCGATGGCTGAGGCTGCCTTCAGCTGTGTGCTGAGATTCTGCGAGAGGAGAATGGGGAAGCACAGGGCAAGGGACCACAGCCGCTGGATCACAGGCAGGTATAGAGAACTTGGGAGCTCAGCACTGTACTGGACCCCAAGGAGGGATGGGGGAGGGTAAAGCCCACAGTCTGCACCCTCCAGAAGCTCACACAATGCTGCTGCTACCCAGCAATGCCAGGCCAGGTGTGGGCACAGCCCATGGGGCTCAGTCTAGGGCAGGAGGACTTGGTGGGGACAGGAGAGGGAGGTAGGAGGGAGAGGCTGGCCTGCAGTGGTGGCTGCAGAGAAGGAGGCGGGGCTGGGGGATGAGAGGAAAAGGAGCAGCAAGGAGCAAAGGACGGGGCACTGGGAGAGACACAGTGAGCGGGTCCCTCACCAACACCTCCTCCACGCCCTCCAGCTGGAGGAGCGGGCCGCCTGCTCGGCTGAGTTTGGGAACAGCCTCCACAGCAGCCGCAGCGAGATCACTGACCTCAACGTGCGCATCCAGAAACTCCGATCCCAGATCCTCTCCATCAAGAGCCACGTGAGTTCTGGAGAACCACGCCCCCCCCCCAGAAGGGGGGGCAGGGAGGAGTGTGGGGACTCCAACTCTTACATGCTCACATGCTGAGTACATGCAAGACCTGACTGAGTGACCTGGGCAGGTCACTTAGCACTTCTGGGCCTGAGTTTCCTCACCTGTCCTCCCAAGGTAGCTATGAGGATCACGTGAGCTTTGCATGTGAAAGTGCTCTGTAAACTGGCCGGGGCTGTTGGAATATTAGACAGCCCCGCCACCACTCACACCCACGGCCCACAGCCTCCCAACAGCTATCCAGAGAGAAGGGAGTGGAGACCTGAGCCCCAGCTTCCAGCCGGGGTGGGCCTTCAGAGGAAGTCCTATAAGGACAGCTGGGACAGGCTCCTTTGGGGGCTTGTGGTACTTCGCTCTTTGGTGGCCTTGGGGGAGTGTCTCCTTAGGTCTATTTGAAGTACCTGTTGCTACAATGCAACCCATTTCCATACCCAGCAATGTGTTGCTTAGCCCTCCCTCCACCAAGGACAGAGGTGAGCTCCTGACCCTGGCCGGTTCTCTCCCTCCCACCCCTGCTCACTGGCCCCTTCCTCTGACCTCTTGGCTGCAGTGCCTGAAACTGGAGGAGAACATCAAGGAGGCTGAGGAGCAGGGTGAGCTGGCCTTCCAGGACGCCAAGGCCAAGCTGGCCCAGCTGGAGGAGGCGCTGCAGCAGGCCAAGAAGGACATGGCGCGGCAGCTACGCCAGTACCAGGAGCTCATGAATACCAAGCTGGCCCTGGACATTGAGATCGCCACCTACTGCAAGCTGGTGGAGGGGGAGGAGAGCCGGTAAGGGGCAGGGCCAGCCAGAGGGGGTGGCAGGGACGGGGCTGGGGAAGAGGAAGGTCTGAAGGACCAGCCTCCCCTTCCAGCGTGATGCTGTGAGCCCCGCAGGCCTGGATTCATATCCTGGCTCAACTACTTACAAACTGGGACCTTGGCCCAAGTTCATTAAATTCTCAGTTTTTCCATCTGGAAAATGGTCTGATCATAACCACGGCCCACCTGTGGTGGGAAGAATTAATATGATTTGTATGCAAATGCCTGTCACAAATAAGGGCTCAGTAAATGTTAGCCATTTATACAGGGGAGATGGAACAGAGGCCCACAGAGTACAAGCTGTGCTAGCCAGGGTCACACAGCAGGGCAGCCCAGGGCTGGGCGTGACAACCAAGAATTGCCTTCCACCTGCTGGTCCCCAGACCGCCAATCCCAGGGGAACGGAAGCCACAGGCTCCCTTCACATCCCACCATTTCCTACCTTTCCCAGGATGGACTTGCCTTCAGCCGCCATGGTCAGCACTATGCAGTCCAGACCTAGAGCCGGTGAGTCTACTTGCCCCAAGAACCCATGGTGGGGAGGGAGACAGGGTGTGGGGGTTATAACCCTGAAGGCATCATTTTAAGTACTTCCCAAACCTCCAGCCCCTTCCCTCCCCCACCCCTTGTGTTCCCTGTAGTTGCCTCCAGGCACCACCTCACAAGAGCCCCCTCCCAGAAGAAGAAGAAGAACAGCAGAGGCCCTGTGATCCAAATCACCGAAATGTCAGAGAAGTTCCTCTTGCAGGAGTCGGAGGCCTCAGAGTAAGCAGCTGGACCCCAGGAGCCCCACGTCACTCCCCTGCATCAGGAGGCACTTAAGCCAGACTCAAGGAAGCAGCTTGGGGCCTCTAGGTTGGGAGGGGAGGCAAACCTGATCCTGAACTGAAAGTTCTAAACAATGACTTTTGTGGGTGCCAGGGGTGGAACAAGACTGTCACCAACTATTCAGAGTCGCTCCCCTCCATGTTAGTATCTCACAATTCCAACCCTCTGGCCAGTAGTTTCCCGACTAGGTAAACTGGATTTGGGGTCAGTTTTGTCTCCGCCTCCTTACTTCGCTGAGACGCCTCCCCCAACAGAGGGCTCTGACAAAGGTCCCTTTGACCCTTTTGCCCAACCCTTGCTCTAAACTAGTATCTCAAGCCTTGCCTTGCCTTGCCTGTGCCTTGGCACTGTGGCCAGTGCCCTCGCTTGCCCAGCCCCAGCCAGCAATGGACCAGGGGCTGTTGAGGACTGCTTGTGCCCCTCCCCGTAACTGGCGTTCCTGGTTGGGGGGTACGGGGTAGGTGCTGAGTGCCCCTGACTTTCCTGTACCACCTGGGCTTCCCAGAGACCTGACAGTATTAGAGTGCAAGGGGAAGAGGCTCCCTGGGTGTTTGAGACCTGAGCCTGGACCTCTGAGATCAGCCCAGACACCTGTGTTCCTCCCCTCCTTCTGTGGGGTCCTCCCAGCAGGTCACAGTCAGAATTAGACAGGCTGCCAACCAGCTCCAAGCACCTTCTCCAGAAGCTATTCTTGCCATGAAAAATTCCCGGGGGGGAGGGGAGGTGGCGGGG